GATCAAAAACCATAAAAAAAGAGACTAGATTTGAATGTAGTTGATGAAAACCCTATCTGTGAATCGTAAAAAAAAAAACAAAAAACTTGTGACCAAATGTTCTTGTATCTTTATCATAATTATACTGTTAAGTTATTAATACTAGTAATGATAAAATAACACATAACACTAATATTAATGTTAAAGTTGTATTTTCTTATTTTCTCCTTGGAAAGACAGTGAAATAAAGACTGCTGTTGTGTCTTTCTACATATGACCAAATTGATGCTCACAAAGGTAATATCCAGAAAGTCCACAAAAATTGAGGAAGTTGACTTTGTACCCAGCAGCCTTATTCTACAGACAACCTCTTGTCCTCTATGCCATGCCATGCAATGTTTTGTTCTTGTTTTCTAGTCAAAGCATGTGAAATTGCTCATCAGTATGAGTTTTCAATTTGAGCTAATTGAGATAAACTTTTTATTTTGAGATAAGTGTTGATTCACATGTAGTTAAGAGGAAATAATACAGAGGGATTCCTTAGTTTTCCCCATTAGTGGCATCTTGCAAAACCCTAATACTCGGTCACAACCAGTGCCTAGATACTGTGGAGATACACAACATTTATGTCACCAAGAGAATTCCTCTTGTCATCTTGCCTGCATCCAGCTGCCTCCTACCTTTTTAATCCCCAGCCACTAATCTGATCTACGGTTCTGAATCACACAGATTTGTCTTTGAGAATTGTTTTATCCCACTCATTCAGCATAGATTCATCTAGGTCATTTCATATGTCAGTAGTTCATCTTATTGCAGAATGGTAATCAGTACTTTTAGTATACTACAATGCTATAATATTCACCTGTTGAAGGACATTTGGATTGTTTCCAGTTTAGGGCTATTACGAATAAAGCTGCTGTCAACATTCATGCACAAGTTTTTGTGTGAAGATAAATTCATTTTTCTGGGATCTCCCAAGAGTACAGTTGCTGCATTAAATGTTAGTTGCCTATTTAGTTTTATAAATGAAACTGCCAAACTTTTTTTTTCCAGAGTAACCCATGGATTTAAATCAATTTTTAATACCTTATTTTCTGTCTTTTATATTTACAGATTTCAAATTTGGACTTTATACAAATGACCCTAAAGATTCAATATCAAATGCAATTTGTAATGGTTATGAGGCATGGCTTTGAATCACAATTTTATAAAGCTATTTTTCTGGAATGAATCACTTAACTAGTAGATGAACATATTGGTCTATTCAGCTTTTATATCATAACACTTTCACTTTTCTGCTCATTAACTCTATAAGAATGCTTTCTCTCTATGAGTTGCAACAGTTAATAATTAAATAATGCTTTATATAAAGACACATCCAATTAACTCGTCCTCCAATAAAACCCTGCAACTGTTCAGTGTTAAACTCTTGACAGTGTGACGTGAAGTCTAACTAAATACAGGTGCCATCTCATTGCAGTGCCTTGTGTAAGTGCCTTTACCTCGCTGTTTTCCTGTATAATGTGTTTGTAGATGATTCACTTATAAGTATCTTGTGAGAACAGCTCTTGTAATAAATGTGTATCTCTGGATAGTGTAGTCTCACCAGAAGGACTATACCAAGTATATTTATTTATTTTAACCCTTTTCCCTAATACTTGAACTTCTGTGTTCACAGCTGCAACATTTTCCCTCTGATATGTTTTTATGCATTGCTTCTGGCATTTCTATTTGATGAGCTCTACAGTGTTTCACTCTTTTCTCCTTTTCACCTGTTTTTCCAGAATTAACTTTAATCTATGACTTTTGGGTTTCATTTTGTTTCCATAGTCCTTTTGATCATTGTGATTTCTCAGCTTATCCCTCATTTGAGAGTGAATCATTTGCAGTTGCAATTAAAGCTCAGAACATAATACAGTTTTTGAAAGTTAAGATGTGAGTTCTCAGAAAACTCGAGATTTTTATGAAAACCACCAGTCATGCACCATTTTAACTATTACAAATAGTAGGTGTGATTTTCATGCGGTCACTGATACTTGTCTCTTCATTAACTGGAATTACCAGGTAAAATCTGTCCCTCACAAACCCTTAAGGAACTATCTTTTGATAAATGAACTGATCCTGTCAAGTGAATACCAACCTTATTTCTTTGTTAAAAATTAATATTTTGTGCAAAAAGAGAACTTTAATGGACTTTGCAAAGGTCATTCATTAGAAATATGAATCATAGCAGTGAAATGAGCAATTTGATGAAAACTTTTCAACCTTGGCAACTGTTGACATTTTGGGCTGATAATTCCTCAGTGTGGGTGGCTGTCCTGGGCAACTGAAGTATGTTTAGCAACTGAAGTATATCTCTGACTTGTCCCTACACACTGCATCTTGTCTTAGCTTACCTCTGCACAAATCCTTACAATTAAAAATGTCTTCAGAAATGGTTTTGAGGAAAAGGGGTGAACAAATAACCTGGTTGAGGCCATTGAACTTGAATGGAAAGTCATTAGGAAAAAGCTTATGCCTTACACATGATTGAGAAGCTTATGAAAATTTTATAATTATATCCCATGCCTATCAATAGATTAAGTTAATTTTAATTAGGCCATAAAAGGAATGCATTTCATTGCTCCATATGATAGCACTGGCACTTATGGATTAGCTTGGTGTTCCTCCTTGTGCCCCTGGGCAAATGTATGTTTCTGCAAAGTTCATCCTTGATAACTTTTGGGGTAGGAAAACTGTTTCTTTCCCAGGACTTGACATTATATGGCAGAGTCTGGTTCACCGTTGGGATCCAGAGACAGTTATGGTTGCCTAGGTTTGGATTAAGTTATGGCTGAAGTTCAGGGCTGTCCATGAGCCAGAAAAGAAAATGTAATATTTTTGATTGTTGTGTCAGATTTATTCTTCTTCCTTTCTATGTTAGATTTCCTTCTTAAAAACTCTGAGCCGGGCCCTCCCTGGTGGCGCAGTGGGTTAAAGCACAGCACTAAGAAGTTAAAGCCATTCCGCATGAGTTCGATATCCACCTGCCCGGGAGGAGATCCACATGCCGTGGCAGACCTCTCCTGACCCACCTTCAGCAGTGTACTTCACCAGTCTGCCTATTCTGCTCCATGCTCTGTCTGGTGAATTCTCTCACCCTCCACATCTCTAGCCTGTACCCCAGTTTCATATTAATAAATAAATAAATCTTAAAAAAAAAATTCTGAGCCTTAGGCCCTCCCTGGTGGTGCGACGGGTTAGGGCTTAGAACTATAAGCTCACTGCAGCCGATTCAATGTAAGTTCGATGCCTGGCCCCGGAGGTGACCCACATGGTGCAGCAGACTTCTCCTGGCCCGCCCCTGCTCCCCTCAGCAGTGTACTTCATCAAACTGCCTGTTCTGCCCTCTACTTTGTCTCTGGTGAATGTTCTCACCACCACTGCACCTCTGACTTGTACCCAGTTCTGTATGAATAAGTAAATAAATCTTTAAAAAAAAAATGCTGAGCCTTGCTATGGGGAAATGGTTGTCTCCATTAGAGAAAGTGAGCCACACTTAATCTTCCTTACTCCTTACCTCTGCTGTGGGTTACACTGGATTTTCCTGATCCCATTTCTGCTACCGCCACTGCCACCCTCCACCCCCAGCCCAACACAATCTACGTATGTTCTTTCCTGACTTTCTCTATAGTGATTCTTTTTACATGTTTTGAGCTAACTTAATAAAGAATAATGGCTTCTTGGATAGCCCTACTTAATCAGATTGGAGTTTTGGTAGATCAAACAAACTATCAAGAAGACTGAATGCAATGAAAAAATTTAAATTAGAACAGTGTCACTGACAAAGATGTTTATAGTTAAATTAACCCATTAGGGCTATAGTGCATCATAGGGTTATGCTTTTTTTAGAACCCACACAATGAAGAACATGACTTCAAAAGACTGGAAAATCCCTTGTTTAAGATAAAGTCCAATACTGTATCACACATAGTGAACAATGAAATATTTTTTTAAGATTTATTTTTATTTACTTATATACACAAGAACCGGGGTGTAGGCCAGAGAAGTCAGAGGGTGAGAGGATTCACCAGAAACAGAATAGGGAGCTGAATAGGTGGAGCTACTGAAATATTGCTGAGGGCAGCAGAAGGCAAGACAGGAAATGGCTGCTGCACCATGTGGGTCAGCTGCCTGGCCTGGATTCATACTCAGGTTGTAGTGGCTGGCAGCAGCTTGATAATGCTGAGACTTAACCCCTGTGCAACCAGGGAGGCCCCTAAATTAATAATATTATGTGAGTATTTTGAGGTATGGGGTATGAGCTCTAGGATAGGCACATTTTGATCTAAGAGATCCCTGGATTATCTTTGTTTCCTAGGAATTCATTGTATCCTAGCAGTTCTGTTTTAAAATGATTTAAAAACAAAACCTAAAGCAACAAGGCTTTTAGAAACTGACAGCACCATTTGGTATCCCAGACTAAAGTTAAAAAGGAGTCTTGGCCCTCCCTGGTGGCACAGTGGGTTAAAGCACAACACTAAGAAGCTTAAGCCACTGTAGCATAAGTTCGAACCGCACCAGCTCTGGAGGTGACCACATGGCGCGGCAGACCTCTCTGACCTGCCTGCTGCTTCCCTCAGCAGTGTATTTCATCAGTCTGCCTGTTCTGCTCCCCACTCTGTCTCTGGTGAATCATTTTACCACCCCTGCACCTCTGGCCTGTACCCAGTTCTGTATGCACATATAAATAAATCTTAAAAAAAAAAAGGAGTCTTTTACTGGATGCCAGAGAAGATGAGAATTTAGATAAATTTAGTTTTACCTGAGAAAAAAGAAAAACTGTTTAGCTTATTTATTATATGTGAATCATGGTGCTATTGATTCTACTTTGGATAGGAAATATATGTTATGTTGAACTACTGATAGTGGAAATGAATGAATATAACAATAGCAATGGTTGACATGTATCATAAAATTCTAGATTATAGCTTCTAACAGATTTTATTTTCTTCTTTTCAGATACCTAGATATTCTTGTCGCTGCATGAATGGACATTTGAAAGTGCTCTTGTCAAACACTTGCAAACATGGAGACCTCATCAATGCTGTCCTCATTGAATGATGAGTGTAAATCAGACAACTACATCGAACCTCACTACAAGGAATGGTATAGATTAGCCACGGATACGTTGATTGAACATGGATTAGAAGCATACCAAGAATTTCTTGCTAAGGAGCGAGTGTCAGACTTTCTAGCTGAGGAAGAAATAAATTATATTTTGAAAAATGTTCAGAAAGTTGCACAAAGTACAGCACATGGGACTGATAACTTCTGTGATGATACATCATCTTCAGGGACTTACTGGCCCATTGAGTCTGATGTGGAAGCTCCAAATCTTGACCTGGGCTGGCCGTATGTTATGCCTGGACTCTTAGGTGGAACCCATATAGACCTCCTCTTTCACCCACCTAGAGCACAGCTACTGACCATAAAGGAAACTATTCGGAAGATGGTGAAAGAAGCAAGAAAGGTAATATTTCTATTTCATGTGCAAACTTTAAAATATGGGAATTTTTGCACAAAAATAGCATGAAAGATATGTATGTTCACTTTTAAAAGTCCATATTTGGACCATGCCTATTATTTTCAGGAAATAAGCATAGCATGTGGGTACATGGAAAGATTGTACTTCCCATGCTTTGCATATACCTAAAAGAATGGAGTTAGCTTCTGCTAAAGGTGGATTATCCTTCTCTTGGTAATGTATATATATATACCCTAGATACCCATCTATGAAGTATAAAGAGGTAGACTGCAAATGAAATAATTTGACATATTCATAAACCCAAAACAACTAAATTTTCCTTAACCTCCAAAAGGAACCATGTCGTTGATAAGTCTGATGAAGTTTCCTTTGTTCTCAACAGGACCTAGCCTGAATTCTTGCTCTGGATATTACTTACGCCATTAAATAAACCATAGATATATTTATTTATTTATTTATTTTCTGAATTATGTGACTATAATACACAGGCAAGCATGACAATATAAAAGTAAGGTCCTGAGGTATTTAGCAGTTTAATGCCTTGATTACCTATTAAATAGTTATATAGACTTATATATCACAGATATACAATTTTAGAGCTAGATAAAGCTGTAAAATATTTTTAATCAGTCAAATAAAAAATATTGAGTTTTCCATGTACTCAGCCCCACAATAGTTACTTTAGAAACTACATCAAAACCTGAGATTTTTGAAATTGACCTGGAGTTTTAAAGTAAATATATAAATGTTATGATTTTTCACTAGCTATTTCTTAGCTACAGATACTATGTGATATAGAAATTTAGATCTTAAAAGGACTTTAGGATGTGCACCAACAGGTCATTGCTTTCTTCCAAGTCAAAGCATGGCTGTAAAAAACATGTTTTTGTGAAAAGATTTCTAAGACCCTCGAAATCTTCAGTAACATAGTAGTTTGCAAGACAGGCAACTAAAAGCTTTGCAATCATGTTAAAGAGACACAATGTTCTGAAGCTAATGCCAAATGCAGACTTTGTGAAAGTAAGTTGTTTTCTTTTCAAACCTTTTGAGCTCAAAGGACCCAATGTTTTATCTGTGTTAACTCTTTTAGCAGGATTACAGGAAAAAGGCACTAATCTATCCCAATTGTTAAAAATTAGCTATAAAATCAGGCACACGGTAGGTGTCCAAATTTTTATTGAATGAATTGAACTGTCTGTTCAGTTTTCTGAATCGAACCGTGAGTCTTAAAACAGTACTATCCTCTGCTGTTTGAATAAATGATAGTTGTATTTTATATAGTAACAGAACTAAAATTAAAAGCATTTATCCATCTTTGTAATGATAAACTATTAAATACTACATTTGCTAATTTCTTTTTGGAGAAAAATATTTTTTAAACCAGTGTTAAGTGAAAATTGAAAAAATACATCAAGGAAAATTGATGTTATTAATTGTAAACTTGGTAGTTATGAATTCATTAGCCTCCATCCTAGCTAGTTTCCTCTAGGGCGTTATATTTCTGTGACGCAAAATGAAATTTAGATGTCATGAGTCCTTAGGCCAGCACTCACTGGAAAATGAACATTAGTCATGACTGTTTGATGTATTTTTCTTTGTAATGTGGCAGCTATTTATTTAGTGAGCCTCTAAAAGTAATATCCTCTGCCTGATCTTTGTCTGCTGGGAACTCCCACTTGCATTAGCAAGCCGAGGAACTTGAAGTCCACACTGTAAAACAATAATGTAATATTCTGCTTCTCTTTCACAGCATCAAAGTGCCATAAAGAAAAATAATTTTACCTTTTTTTGACTTATAGGTACATATCTAAGCTGAATTCAAAGATTGAAAAATATTTGAACCTTATAAATAAAGTATATTGCAATTGAATATAAATTCATAACATGTAATTTAGTGGGTTTTTTTTTTCCAAAAGCATTTAGGAATGCAGTAAATATTGAAGTCATATGGGCTTGAGATACATGGGATGTATAGTTGTCAAGTATTTTGGAAATTTCTTTATGCATTACTTGTGTATTTGTTAGAAGTTAAAGGATAAAGTACTCCAGAAAAAAATGTATTAACAAAGCTAGACTTTTAAACCCATAACTGGATGAGATCCTGTGAAAGATTAGAAGAGCCATTATGACTAAAATAAAACTTGATAGAATGCATTGCTTTTTAAAGATTAAGTGTGGTTTTCATGACTATCATTTACTCAGATAAGTCAGGTTTTTCTAATCCCACAGAATCAATGGCAAAATATTAGATATTAGGATAAATGTACTGTTTTGAACTATTTTCAAAGGGCAAATTCTCTTTATTGGCATCTATCGATGAATTATCATGCCATTATTAAGAAAACGTTCTTTTACCCCATGCAGTGTTTGAATAATGTGCATTTTAATAAGGAGAAAAAAGTTTCTTGCTTATAGATTTCTCAGGGAGATTATTTTGGTAATCAACATTGTGAAACTCTATGGAGATAGGAGGCCAAACTGGTATGGCTGGAAATCAGTAAAGCAGAACCTAGGAAGAATTTCAGAGAAGAATTTAAATCCATTTCACTGTTCTGTTTGCAATTGAGATAAGGTACCTATGAAAATAAATGTCACATTATGGAAAAAAATTCTAAAATAACGAAAATAATCAAAACACAGTTTTCTGATAGAGGTCAAACATTTGAAGTCCAATCATAACTCACAAGTTAACCTTCCAGTCCTCTGAGAAAGGAAATAAAAATGATACTACATCTCATTTATCTTTACTGGAGATTTTGTTTGTAATTTTACTCACTTATTTGCTCTTGTTTCATTTTGTTATGTAATCTTTGATTCATTCTTTTATAAGGAGAATGTGATCCTTATATTGTTTCAAAAATTATAAACTTGTTTCTATTTATTCATTTAATTTTTGACAGTTGTCACTTAGAAGTTATTTGGAATTTTTATTTTCTTTCTTTGGAATGTTTGCTTATTTAAGTATTTGGGAATTTTCCTTTGGGAAAAGCCAATTGCAGATAGTATCTTGTTCTCTGAAGGGGCCATACATTTATTTACTGCCTCTTTTTCTAATCTCTTTCGATTTTTCACTATGTGTTTGACATAATTACATTTGGGACAACTGTATAAAGTCTGATAGTGTCGAGCAAGACTTTTCCCAGGTAATTATTTGCCTCTCAATAAGTGTTCTCAGATGACATAGGCATGTATTCCTAATTACTGTGAACACCTCTTATAAAAGTATCCTCTCTAATTACCTAAAAAAAGTCATCTTTCATTAGTCATTTTTCTTCTAGCCACTCAGTCATAGATATCCATAAAGTTATAACTTGGGATTGTCTTAAACATGTAATGTTTAGCCAGCATGCTACTTGGAGATGTTTCCTAATTCTAGACCAGCTTCTTCTGTGAGATCTAAATCAAACTCTTGTGAAATATGAAATCAAGAAGACACATAAGCAAAAGTCTACTGAGAATTAGGCCAGAGTAATTCCTGAGGCACTCGGCATTGTCTCTCCTGAGTTCAGCTTCTGGTTCCTCCCTGAGTCACTGTGCCTGGGTGTGTCTGTTATGGCCTAGGGAGTTATTAGTAATACAGAGAAACATTAACTACTCCTTAGCCCCTTGGTTGCATGTGGGAAGTTTAACAGATGATAAAGACTCTCTTGGACTTGGCTGGCATCATTGTTAGTGCTAAGAGACCTTGGCTCTCACCAACTATTTATACAGTTGAACATTGTACCTCCTCAGGTATCTTTACTTATTTAGTGAAAAATATGAAGCAAAACCTTCCAGTGGTTTCTAAATCTAATGGTCCTAGTCAGATCTTTAATAACGCTTACCAATTTAGAATATTTCAATGTAATAGTCTATGATTATACTCCTTGTTGAATTAGTCCATTACATGAATAACTTTTATTGTGTCATAGGGTGTCACTTCCGTGTGTCACTTTTCTTACAGCCATCTGCTGTGATATCTGGGTATTTATTAGTGGCTTCATTAGAATAGGATCATCTTTCTCATAATGTTCCCAGTTTTTATGAAGAATTTGCTCTCTGCCTCCACCCTCTTTCAGCTTTCACTGTGAATATTTTTATTCTTTGAATTTTAATCAAAATCAGTTTCTTCCAGGAAATGGCTTTTACTTAGTCAGATTTAATAACATTACTCTCTTATGCTATTAATTTGAACACCTCTTCTCTGAATGAAGTGAATATTATGTTAGTGTATGTATGTGTGTGTGACAGAGAGATAGACACAGAGAGAGAAAGAGAGAAAACTTATTAAAATTACTCTGACTTCACCATGCTACCTTTGCTGTGTCTGTGGGAATATACTTTCTATGCCAGATTCCCAATGCTATGCAGATAGAGAACACAGTTCATATTCTACTCACTTAATTTACTCATTTCCTTCACTATTATAACAAACCTAATGAAAAAGTATTTAAATTTTAACATAGTTATGTAAGGAGAGAGGAAAGAGTGACTGTGTTATGAGAGGATTTTTTAATTTTATGACAGGGGTTTGGGTCTTCTTGGTTGACGTGATACTTTTATGGACAAAAAGTTACAGCCTCCATTCTCCATATCCCAAATTTAGAATTTTTTCGATGAGGGTAAATGTAGTTGCTGATACTCCATTGGGACCCTGTTTGGATGGAATGGCTATCTAACTTGACATTTACCAAACATTTAATATCAATATGTGGTGCTAAGATGCACTTCCTGCTCTCCTCTTCATTGTGATTTTCCTTCCTCTCTACCTTCTAATCTAGAAGCTCCTAGATTATTTCAGAAATTTATCAAAAAGTTCAACAGTCTGTATTTATGTATCACTGTACTTTGTCATGGGTTCTTTTAAAGAAAGAGAAACAGCTGCCCCAGTTTAGCATCTAGCAAGACAGTATTTTTCTAGGAATTCCAACTAGGATTATGAGCTCAGAAATTACTGTTCTTGAAGAGACCCATATTTTTGTAATCTCATAATAATTACATCTACT